AACACCTGAACAAGTATTTATAGTATGATGCTTCCGTCACCACTCACCAACATGAGGTTTATACAGAGAAGCTTAAATCTTTGGCCTTGGCCTCATAAGCAGCATTTATTAATTATATAAAGTGAATACAAAATATGATGGGAAGAAAAAGAATACAAAACAAAAAAAATGGAAAACACATTTACAGAGCATTGTACCAAGAAGTTGCAATGGATATCATAAAAAATAGTTATGAAATGTTAGAAATGGATCGAAGAACAGTTAGTAGTTACCACAATCAAAAAAAAAAGATTCATGGAAGTTAAATGTTTTTAAGATGTGGAGGGATATCCAGTGAAAAGAGATGATATGGAGTCTAAGTGAAATAAAAAGCATGTAAGATGTAACAGATAATAAAATAAATTAACTTAGGAAACCGAGGAAAGCTTTATGATGTTTTAGATAGAAGATGCAGCAGAATAAAGAATGAATCCCAGAGGCACTAGTAATAGCACATCACTGCTGTTACGATACATTTCAACCTTTTCTTTCATTTCTGGTTTATCATTTCTGAAACCAAAACAAATGTATAGCATATTTTCATATACTCACCCCTCTAACACGGCCAAGTTTCTGCTCAACTTCTGCTTTTTCTTTCTTAAGAAATTCACACATTTCCTTCAAATCTCTTACTTGATTCTAAAGGATAAAAGCAAATGCATAATTAACACAGCTATAGCCATTGATGGGAGAAAGATGTGGCAGTCTGCTTCTGTAGAGATTTACAGCCTTGGAAACCTTAAGGGGTCTCTATAAGTTGGAATTGACTCAATGGCAGTGGGTTTGGTCTGGTTTCTTCTCATAGTCATTGAAAAGGAATGGCAAAACTTTTACTGTCTGCTGTGTTCCTGTATCTACAAGAGTGCCCAACAAAAAGGAGGCCCTCAACAAATAACTGTTATAGGAGCAAATGTATAAAGTATAATACTATGATAATATCTTATGAATAGTGGTCTTCTACCTCTTTTCTTCATAAGGTAATAGGGTAAATAACAACAAAGAGGGGAAGAAACAATTTTCAGGCATTAAATTTCCTAACTATAGTAAAGAACATTAAATTTACCTTTAATCTTGGCAAATCCTTATTTGCTTGTTCAAGCTGAAACTTTAGTTCAATATTTTCAGATGACAACTTCAAGTTTTCTCTCTGAAGCTCCTGTTCTCTTTGGCAATGATCATCGGACCCTGCTTCTGAAGTCTTCAGGAAAATGAAGTTAGGAACATTTTTAAGGTTTTATAAATAAAGGCCACATAATATATACTGGATAAGAAATAACTATTCCAAAAGGAAACTTTTTTTTTAAACAATTTATTTTATTTTTGTTGTTGCTGTTGAGAACATACACAGCAGAATATTCACCAGTTCAACAATTTCGACATGTACAATTTCCAACAATCATCTGTAAGTTTGTTGTACTGTGGTGGCTTATGTGTTGCTATAATGATGGAAACTATGCCACCAGTATTTCAAATACCAGCAGGGTCACCCATGGTGGACAGGTTTCAGTGGAGCTTCCAGACCAAGACTAGCAAGAAGGACCAGGCGATGTACTTTTAAAAAAAAATTGGCCAGTGAAAACCTTATGAGTAGCAGTAGACTTTAGGCAGTGTTTCATTCTGTTGTACAGAGGGTCGCTATGAGTTGTAACCAACTCCACGGCACCTAACAACAGTACGTACAATTCAGTGATATTACATTCTTTAAGTTGTGCAACCATTCTCACCCTCCTTTTCCAAGTTGTTCCTCCTCTGTTAACATAAACTCACTGTCTCCTAAGTTTCCAATCTAATCTTTCAAGTTGCTGTCATATAGACAGACCTTAAAAGAGCACAATGCCCACGGCAGACATTCTTGGCTAGTTAAGCTAAACAACTGGTTTTAAGAAGATGTCAGAGAATATTTTTGGTTTAAGGTTTAAGGTATAAAGATTATTTTAGGGCAATAGTTTCAGGGGTTCATTCAGCCTCCAAGGCTCCAGAAAATCTGGATTCCATGAGAATCTGAAATTCTGTTCTGCATCTTCCCTCTTTTAATCAAAGATTCTCCTATAGAATCTTTGATCAAAACGTTCACTAATGGTAGCCAGGTACCATCCAGTTCTGGTCTCATGGCAAAGGAGGCAAAAGGGAACTTTTTTCCTTACAGGAAAATAAGAAAACTGGAGAGCTCTAGAAAAAAAAAAAAACACCAAAAATATACAAGTTGGAATATAACACTTACAGGAGTATGTAGTTGGTTTTAATTAAAATAGAAAACAGAGTCAAGTATGACTTAATAACCCCTACACATATAATGCCTCCATATATACTCTCATAATGGCTAAACTAATTTACGTTGGTTTTACCAAAAGTAACTTACAGT